TGGTGTGTACATAAGAACATAAGAGAAGCCAATGTTGGATCAGGCCAATGGCCCATCCAGTCCAACACTCTGTCACACAGTGACCAAAAATACCAGATGCCATCAGGAGGTCCACCAGTGGGGCCAGGACACTAGAAGCCCTCCCACTGTTGCCCCCCCACCAAGAATACAGAGCATCACTTGCCCCAGACTTGCCACTGATGGACCTCTGCAAAATGGCCTCGAGGCAGAAGGGGGGGGAGGGGGGGGCAAAGAAAGGCGAAGAAGGGGGGGGATCAATCCCGGCTCTCTCACCGCCAGTCCGATCCACCAGCTCATCCACCCCAGCCTCCACAGATCTTACAAGTAGGGGGGGGGGAGATGATGACAGGGGGGGCACGATCCCGGCTCTCTCACTGCCAGTCGGCCCACGTCAGACCCGCCGGCTCTCTCACCGCCGGCTGGCCCCTCCCAACGCTGCCTCCACGTCTTGCCTCTTGCACACAGCCCAGCCTCTTGCCTCTCACACACAACCCAGCACAGAGCGGCTGGCCTCCGCGAAAACAAGCCCCGGCTTCAGTGGAGGGACGTGACACTCTGCGTCCCGTCGCGCTCCCACCACGCCCAGGACGCGTGTTGTCCTTTTCTGCACTTTTTCCAAAGCTATAATATCCTTTTTGAGGTGTGGTGACCAGAACTGTACACAATACTCCAAATGAGGTCGCACCACTGATTTATCCAGGGGCATTATGATACTGGCTGATTTGTTTTCAATTCTCTTCCTAATGTACCATTATCTGAAATGGTACAAACTGAACCATTATCTGAAAAGAGTTCCCACCTGTAAGGACCCACAGCAACAACGGAGTACACACTTACAAGAAGGTTTTACTTTTATTGAAGCTATAGATGCGTTGACAGGAACACTGTTAGGAATAGCGGGCAATCTATGCGCATGAAAGGTTATAGTACATTCATATCAGCAATACCCAATTACCGGGGTTCCCGCGCATGGGCGGTAGGCTTGGGAACAAATGGCTCATAAAGCAAAACAGGTAAAAGTTTCCCACGACTCATCCTGGGTAAAGCCAAAGCAACTCCTCCAGCGGCCTTGAGAAATACGGGTTACTGCAGAGCGGCAATTAAGCGCTAGGGAAGGAATGCGCATGAAAAGAAAACTTTTAAAAAAAACACTTGGCAGCTTGCTGACACCACCCTTCCAGAGGGGGAGAAAACATATGACCACAAACTTAGACATTTATATAGCCACATTGAGGCAGCTGCTATAAAGTAAGTAAATTTAAGTAAGGGGGAATGACAGACTTTGTGGGGCAGCACCCCTTTGTCTAGTTTGTGGTGGAGGTATATACATTGTAAACTGAAGAGAGCATTTCTTTTGCCAACAAACCTCAGTTTAATCTTCTCTGTCAAAGATGTGCCTAGACCTCTGCCTCTCAAAAAACGTACCCTAAACTGAATAGATGATGAATATTTTCTAGATGGGGATAGCAGTCTAATACTGCTAGATACAATTTATTTAAGGCTTGGTTTTCAGTTCTACCATCAGCTCTTTGGATCAGCAAGAAGAGCTGCTATCTCTGGTTTCTAGCTTTGGAGAACTGACAGTCCCATCCTAAGCAGACTGACACTCTCCTAGGATGGTACTGTGAGTCAACTGCTGAGTTTTGTTCTGTGCTACAGTATCGTTTTGGCATCTGTAATGCCTGGTTCTTCACTGATTTTTCTCTAGATCAGAGACAACAAAAAGCTGGAAATCACTAACTGATTCGGAACGTTGCAGGGGGTCACTGGAGTCCATCGCAGAGCACTTCGGTATGTAACGAGGAAAACAGTTGCAAATGTGAGGTCCTTCCTGAGCCTTTCTGTTAATTTCCAGAGCGAGGCTTGCTCAAGTTTAAAAAATTAATTTATGTTAAGACTGGTTCCCCCAAATACTGGGCTGAATCCTGCCATTCTGCTCAGTTAACGGCCCCATGTCCTGTCCCTGGAAGGCCTGTCCTGTCAATTCAGGGGGTTCCCATGGGGGTGGGATTCAGTTTGTGCCAATGGAATGTTCTCTCCTTAAGCTGAGCAGAGTGATAAGATACAGCCCAGTGAGTTTCTAAAGATAAAAAAGCCCAGTGAGTCCCAAGATAAAAAGCAGCTATTTCTTTTGTATTCAAAGTGTGAATTTTTAAAAGTGCTGCACATTTTGCCCATCTGGCTGTTGTATAAATTGTCTAGCCCTTTTCTCTCTTCTTCCTTATGCCTTTTCGTTTTTCTGTACTTTGATGGGATACTGTTGCATGACAATACATAAACAGTTACCACTTTCAGGAGTCCATTCCTTCTACTGGAATTGGAAATTTTAGACATCTAGCCAAGATCCAATAGGGAAAATTCAGGGCAGGTATTTACATCATGGTAGTGGTCACTCCCCCTTAGCTCCATCCCACAGTACTCCAGGTAACGTGAGAATTTATCTAAAGAACCATGTCTCCTAGGGCTGTCAATTGCCTGGAGAAAATTTTTCCCCTGACTCTTTAACAAAGGCTTAATGGGATGTTTACTAAGTGATGTTATTTCCTTGCATGCCATGAAAACTTTCAGCTGCCCGTTTCCACACATTTAAGTCTCTATAAAAGGTACAGGACATTTTTCTCCAGGCCTGTGGGCAGCACTAATTTCTGTACACCAGCTGTGGTTTTCTGGTCATCAACTTCTGGTTGTTGTCCCAGTTAATGTGGCCTGCTTGGCATCTACTAAAGCCTGTTACTTCTCTGTAGCAGCTCCCAACATGTGGATTGGGGGCTCCCTGAGGAGGCGAAGGTCATGCCATCTTTAGAAACTTTTTGGAGGTGCTGTATGGCCATTTTACTTGTGATGGCTTTAAATGGGCTTTAAGTTGAAGAAATTTTCATGGAGAAGGGGGAATTAACAAGGTTTTGTATGTTTTTAATTTTGTAAGCTTCCTTGAGCCACAATGGAAGGGCAGGGTATAAATATTTTCATAAAATGAATAAAAAAGAAGATACAGATATTAAAATAATGCGATCCAGTTACCCAACAACATGTCCATCTCTGACTTTACTATCTTTTGTTCTGTTGCATTATTGTTCATAGACAGGACCTGTTCATAGACAGGACAATATAAAAATATGACCAACCCAATGCAGGAAAGGTAACCAAAGAGGTTAGGGGGACAACAATAATAAAATATGGCTAAACATGCAGTGCTAATATAAAAATATACATTTTAATTATGCATAGGAAATATTAGAATCACAATTTAAACCACATATCAACGGTTGTGTATATAAATACCGGTACCTAATATCAGGACAAATGTCAGAATATATAAATACAGGTTAAAAAGTACAAAATGTGTGCAAATACAAGAACCAAACACGTTCTGGTTAAAAAGTCTTCCTCAGTGATAAAATATAAGCTGAGCACTCTGTAAGTTAAACATCAATTTATTTCAAACTCATCATATACAGAATGGACCTAAAAACCAGCAATTATCAAATACTGTGTAGACCCTACTCACACAGAGATGCAACCTGGTCCACTCATCCAGGTGTGTTTTATTTCATATGCCCATGGATCTGTTTCGGCCCAATCTGCAATATTCAGAATCCAGACAGAGTGCTCGACTACAATGTAAACATTTTTTTTCAGGTCCAGTCTTGTATTTGCACATATTTTACATCTTTTAGCCTGTATTTATATATTCTGACACTTGTCCTGATATTAGGTATAGTTGTTGTTGTTGTTGTTCAGTCGCACAGTCAAGTCCGACTCTTTGCGACCCCATGGACCAGATCACGCCAGGCCTTCCTGTGTTCCACTGTCCTCTGAAGTTTGCTCATTTTCATGTTCGTTGCATCTATGACACTGCCTAACCATCTCATCCTTTGCCGTCCCCGTCTTCTTTGACGTTCAGTCTTTCCCAGCATCAGGGTCTTCTCCAGGGAGTGCTCCCTTCTCATTTGGTGGCCAAAGTATTTGAGCTTCAGTTTCATTATCTGGCCTTCCAAGGAACAGTCAGGGTTGATTTCTTTTAGGATTGACTGATTTGATCTTCTTGCAGTCCAAGGGACTCTCAAGAGTCTTCTCCAGCACCATAGTTCAAAAGAATCTATTCTTCGGCGCTCAACCTTCCTTATAGTCCAACTCTCGCAGCCATACATGACTACTGGGAATACCATTGCTTGGACCATGCGTATTTTTGTTGGCAGGGTGATGTCTCTACTTTTTATCATGCTGTTTAGGTTCACCATCGCTTTCCTCCCAAGGAGCAGGCGTCTTTTAATTTCATGGCTGCAGTCACAGTCTGCGGTGATTTGATGACTAGGGAGCCATGTACCTGATGTTATCTGCAGGTCGTCTTGAAGAAACAGGCTCTGAAGAACTGCTCTTCCAAAAGCAGCATCAGTTTTAGCACAGTGCATCACCACCAGGAACTTCTCAAAGGCTGAAGTCAGTGAACCAATAGCAGACCTGCAGAGATATGTCACCAAGTATCTGGAGAAAGTGGCAGAATCAGGAGCCATAATGACCCTTTCACAGTACTAGCTTGCTTGATACGTTCGCATCAAACTTTAAAGCCAGGCATCTTTCCCGGCATTTGAAAGACATGTTTGCACTCACTGGAGAAAACCCTGATGCTGGGAAAGAGGTATGGTGGTGATTGCTGCCTCCTGTACGATGTCACGAACCTCTGTCCATAGTTCTTCAGGCACTCTATCTATCAAATCCAGACCCTTGAATCTATTCTTCACCTCTACTGTATATTCATCAGGGATGCGATCTAGGTCAAACCTGAATGGCCTCGTGGTTTTCCCAATTTTCTTCAGTTTAAGTCTGAATTTTGCAATGAGTAGCTCATGATCTGAACCACAGTCAGCTCCAGGTCTTGTTTTTACTGACTGGATAGAGCTTCTCCATCTTTGACTGCAAATTATATAGTCAATCTGATTTCGGTGTTGCCCATCTGGTGATGTCCATGTGTAGAGTCGTCTCTTAGGTTGTTGGAAAAGGGTGTTCGCTATGACCAGTGTGTTCTCTTGACAAAACTCTGTTAACCTTTGCCCTGCTTCATTTTGCTTTCCAAGGCCAAACTTGTCTGTTATTCCGGTTACCTTTTGACTTCCTACTTTAGCATTCCAGTCCCCTATGATGATGAGGACATCATTTTTTGGTGTTAGTTCTAGGAGGTGTTGTAGGTCTTCATAGAACCGGTCCACTTCAGCCTCTTCTGCCTCAGTGGTTGGGGCATAGACTTGGATTACTGTGATGCTGAATGGTTTGCCTTGGAATCGGACCAAAATCATTCTGTCATTTCTGAGACTGTATCCCAGTACTGACTTTTGCACTCTCTCGTTGACTATAAAGGCCACACCATTTTTTCTACGAGATTCCTAGCCACAGTAGTAGATATAATGGTCTTCTGAGTTAAATTCGCCCATTCCTGTCCACTTTAGTTCACTGATTCCTAAGATATCGATGTTCAGTCTTGCCATCTCATTTTTTACCACATCAAGCTTACATTCCAGGTTCCTATGTAGTATTGTTCTTTGCAGCATCGGACTTTCCTTTCACCATCAGACACATCCACAACTGAGCGTCCTTTCGGCTTTGGCCCAGCCACTTCACTCTTTCTGGGGTTACTTGTACTTGCCCTCTGCTCTTCCCCAGCAGCATATTGGACACCTTCCGACCTGAGGGGCTCATCTTCCGGCATCATATCTTTTAGCCTTTTGATACTGTCCGTGGGATTTCCTTGGCAAAGATACTGGGGTTGCCATTTCCTTCTCCAGGGGATCACGCTTAGTCTGAGTTCTCTGCTGTGACCTGTCCGTCCTCGGTGGCCCTCCACAGCATAGCCCACAGCCTCATCGAACCACGCAAGCCCCCTCGCCATGAGGATCACTTATATACAAAACCATTGATATGTGGTGTCTGTTGTGATTTTAGTATTTCCTATGCATAATTAAAATACAGTGTACATTTTTATATTAGCACTGCATCTTTAGCCATATTTGGTTACCTTTCCTATTTTTGTTCCTAGAACCAGGGGCACAGCTATGTATGGAAAGGTATCTGAGGTATATGCAAGCCCTCACGCCTGTCCCCCACCACCAGCAGGCTTTTTGCTGGGTGTTTCTAAAATCCGTAGTAGATCTATGTGGTCGTGTCATTACATTATAGCTATATGCCTACTACCTATTTAAAAAGCAAAAGGCAAAAAGCACTACAGCGACAGGTGGAGGAATGGGCAGGGGCACGGGGAACAGCACAGTGTCCTCTCCTGCCCCGGTGGGGCCTCCTTTGCTGCTGTGGATGTCTTCTGAGTTCACGGCGACAGTGAGAGCAGAACAGGGAATCGTGTGGGAGCAACCCTAAAAAAATGAAAGATGAAGCAATAAGGCAGCAGGGAAAACTTTGGCATGTTGCTTTAGGTATTTTGACCCCATATGTTCTTTCAAAAGGCCTGTGAAAATGCTGATTTAACATTTGCTTGTGTAGATCCAGTTGATTGCACAGTTGGTGAAACTTGCCATTTAGTGCAACGCAGTCATTGACTCTTAGCCGCTTTGATGAAATTAAACAGCAGCTGTTATTCTGTAAAACAGTGTTGGTGTTTCAGTGTTCTCTCTCTCTCTCTTTCTCTCTCTCTCTGTGTGTCTGTCTAGATGCTGTATCACGTTCCGAGAGATCCGACTCCTCGTATACAAAGAAATTCATTGAGGCAGAGATTCGGACAGAGGAGCATTTCCAAGCTCCATCCCCGGTCCTCAAGGCCCCACAAAAAGCTGGAGCTGAATCTGGAGATTCGCTGGATAATTTCCCCCCCTTGGCTGTTCTCAGAGATTTGGTAGACTTGAGCAAAACATCCCATGTGTTACTGAACACTTCAGAAGATGTCACAAGCTGTGATACTCTTGTTTCCACTAACAGATCTGTGGTACAAGAGGAGGTAGATTCTGTAAAATCAGAAGACTCTGAGCCAAATGATACCCACAAGCTTTCTGGAAGATCCGATGCTTCTGCTTTGGACACTGAGCAGAAGAGTTCCCCGCCAGTCTTGTTAAAGGCAAGTGCTTGTCCTGAGATCAGCTTGGCTGTTGCTAGTGTTCAAGATGGAAAAGAAATATCAAAGCAGGAGGAAAGTTACAAGGATGAAGAGTGTGCTGCATTGGGCCAGTCCTCTCAGAAGCTGGATAAGACCTTGCTTTCAGAACACCCGTCTGCTCACACAGAGCCATGGGACTGTCATGGTTTTGAGAGATCTTCATCAAGAAAACATAGGTCAGACGATGGAACACTTCATACTGAATCTTACAAGGATGATTTTGACACCTCTGCGTCCTCATTTGGAAAGGACTTTAGGTCACAGGGAGAGAAACCGTGGTATACAAAAACTCCGAGGAACAGGTCTGCGAGTATTGGAAGTGACGAGGAAGTAAGTGAATGTCTCAGCGACAAAGCTCTTTCCATGGCTTCTAGCATTCATTCAGAAAGATTATTAATCCTGAAATCGCCAACAGAACTGATGAAAAGTAAAGAACGCAGCGATGTCGAGGGAGAATCGGCTCGTCTTGATGCTTCACTTTGGGCTTGCTCTCCCAAGGCAGAAGAAGAGGGAAACACCCTACAAGATTTCAGCATCGGTGACAGAGTCCTTGTCAGCAATGTCCAGCCAGGGACACTCAGATTTAAGGGCCTGACCAGTTTTGCTAAAGGGTTTTGGGCTGGTGTGGAGCTGGACAAGCCTGAAGGGAGGAACAGCGGCACTTACGATGGCATTAAATATTTCGATTGTAAAGAAAAACATGGCATTTTTGCTCCTCCACACAAAATCTCACGGATTTCAGAGAGTTTGGGTGACTTCGTAGACACAGAGGGGCACTCTTCCTGCAAGATCGAGCTAGATCACAACCACAAAGTAGATCAGAAGGACAGAGAGAGTCCCCGAGAAGAAGAGGGGAAGAGTGAGGGGGAAATTGTGAGTGAGAAATCTCTCCAGGATAAATCCCAGAGAAGTGCATCTGCCCGACAGGATTCCATAGCAGATGGAGATTATTTGGAACTCAGTGCCCAAAAAAGCCAAGTTCTTGCTGCTGTTGAAGAAACCCTTGCTGAAGAACAGAGTGTTGTAAATTCTCTGAGGTCCTCCGGAGATGACAGCAGGCTCTCGGTTGCCTCCATTTCTGATGCCCTTAGCAAAACATCAGCTGTTGTAGCAGAAGGGGCCTTGGATGGAATCATCCCTGAAACATGGAAGCAACAGCAGCCTTCTTGGCAGGAATATACTGAAAAGTCAGAGAGCCTTTACCCGGGAGTATTGGAGAAGTCTGCTGCAACTCCCCTCCTGGACTTGCTCACTAAAGAAAGGAGCCAATTGGAAGCCCAGCTTAGGCTTCCGTCCCATGAGGAAGAAGAACCCAAAGATCAACAGGAAAAAGTGGGCTTGTTGACGGACAGCCTCCTCCAGGCGTTTGTGAAGGACACTGTCAATCAGCTGCAGCAAATCAGGAAGGTCAGGAACGAGAAGATTCAGTTTAGTAATCAAGAACTTGCTGCTGTCCAAGAGCAGGCGTTGGCAGCTGGTGACTTGCAGAGCATATTAATAAGTTCTCAGTTGGATGATGGCGAAGAAGTTTCCTCTCCCGACTTGTGTCCCAGACCGGTAAGTACCGTTTCCCAGATGGTTCCAGGAATGAATGTTGTGGTGCTGCCTCCGGCATAAAAATGTGCAACTGTAACTTGATGGGAATCTAGTGATACATTCTGAAACATTTTGCAGGGCAGGAATGGTTGCATCAGTGCTTAGTTCTTGTGGCCCTTTCTTACACGTCCAAGAAAATGCTGGTCACCGCTTTGGGGTCAGGAAGCAATTTTTCTCCAGGCCAGTTTGACTTGAGATCCTGGAAGTTTTTCGTCATCTTTTGGGCATGTATCAGCAGTCACTGGGGTTGTGTGGGAGAGAAGAGGAGAAGAGGAGATTAGATTTATACCCCACCCTTCACTACCCAAGGGAGTCCCAGAGCGGCTTACAAACTCCCTTCCCCCTCCCCACAACAGACACCCCGTGAGGTAGGTGGGGCTGAGAGAGCTCTGACAGAAAGTGCTCTTTTTCAAGGACAGCTCTTATCAGAACTATGGCTTGCCCAGGGTCATCCAGCCAGGTGCAAGTGGAGGAGTGGGGAATCAAACTCGGTTCTCCCAGATTAGAGTCCACGCACTTAACCACTACACCAAACTGGCTCTAACCACTACACCAAACTGGAAGTAAATGTGAATTTCCTGCATTGGGCCAGGGGTTGAAGACCCTGGAGGTTCCTTCCAACTCTATGATTCTTTGATTCAGTATGCAGAGATGTAGAAAACATTGGCAGGCATAAGCTCATACAAGGAACCTGTGCCTAATTCAGTGGAGTTTTTGATTTCTCTAAACCGCGCATATCACTCCTGCTCCATGCCAGAAACTGTTTCAGAAATGGCTTGCCATCCAGCAGAAGGGACTGCTGTTTGAAAAACCTCCCATGGGTTCTCGGATATGACCTTTTGGCTTATGCTTAAGTTTGAGCATGCTGGCACCAGAGTTCCATGCATTCACTTACTCTTACATTGTTGACCTGCAAGAAAAGAACATTGTTGAGCAGGAGCAAAGGCATTTCTGCTTATCCTTTATAGTTTTATTAATAGCTTTTTTATTATTATTGTACTTTTAAATTAAAATAGGGATACAGAAAAAAGGGGGGAGGGAGATATAGGTATTATAATAATCTATAACTTATTCATAACAAGGACGATCAACAAAGTGTTATTAATGTTTTATTGTTTTTACCTTATTTTATATGGGCGTTGCCCCTTGTAAGCCGCCCTGAGCCCGCTTTGCGAGGAGGGCAGGGTAAAAATCCCAATAAATAAATAATAAATAAAATAAACGTCAGAGTAAATATAGAGCATGTAATATAAACATTTAAAATACATAGTATTTGAAAGGTTTTTACATACTGTATACACTTAATATTAAAGCCTAGCAGTTATTACCATTAGTTACTATTAATATTAACTGTAGACACTGATTATTACAATATATGTTCCATTGCATCTTAATACCACTACGGTTGTCATAATCAAACTATAATAAAAATGCATTTTTAAGAGCATTTCTAAAAATAAGGATAATAAACTAGGTTCATATATACATCAAAAACTGTTTTTATGGTCTTGAATGTAGCATTATTTCAGAGAACACATATTTATATCATTGTAGTATTATCTATCATAACCTTAATTATAGATCAAGGTGGTCAGCCGTGTTGGTCTGAAGCAAAAGAACGAAGTTAGAGTCTAGTCAGGCACCTCTGAGACCAACAGAGTTTTATTCAAGGTGTGTGAGCTTTTGTGTGCATGCACACTTTGTCTGACAATGAAATGGAATTACGGATCATAGTTATATATATGCTAATTTAACAAGCCACCCTGTATATATACAGCTATGATCCGTAATTCCATTTCATTGTCAGACAAAGTGTGCATGCACACAAAAGCTCACACACCTTGAATAAAACTCTGTTGGTCTCAGAGGTGCCACTGGACTCTAACCTCAATTAAATTAGTGCAGTTATATATTTTGTGTTAATGGATTATCCTTTGAAATCGTGGGAAAAGACCCCTGTTAACAGAAAAAGTTGGCTCTTCTGCAAGGACCTCAACTTTCCTCCTTATAACTGCATCTGATGCTGCTGCAGAAGTAACAATGGATGCTGCTTGTGCTCTAGAACTACACACTAGTACTGTAACCTTTCCCACTGTAATGGCTGTGCATACACCATGTCCCAAAGGTGTTGTTGAAAAGTGAGAACATAAAGAAGAGCTTTTGTTTTCCCTTTCTGTGTATGGCCCCGAGCCCTTCCCTGATTTCATTGGAAAGAGGTTTAAGGAGTGTAAAATCCCAAAGACACTGCTGTTCTCCAGCTTCCGTTACTGCTGAAATGCCGGGGTGACATTGCCCAGTGTCCCAACCTGTTGAACTCTAGTAATTGTTTAAGTGCTGTGCATATCATATGCATGCTCAAAAATAACATTCTTTTTCTTACCGTATAGGAAAGCCCTGTGTTTGGTGCCAGTGGGCAGGAAGAACTTGCCAAGAGGCTGGCAGAGTTGGAGCTCAGCCGGGAGTTCCTGAGCGTGTTAGGAGATGACCAAGACTGGTTTGATGAGGACTTTGGCTTGAGTACCCGTAAGCTCCCTCCAAAGCAAGCTGAAGAATCAGCCGTGTTGCCGAAGATAGAGCCTCCCAAAGTGCCCCCCAAGCCATGTGAAGAGCCCTTAGCTGTCCCGCACACTGCAGAGGAGGTGGAGGACTTGGTGTATGAGGCAGCCGAGGAGCTGTGGAAGTGCAAAGAGCTGGGGCTTGACCTTCAGGCTGCTGGCTTCCCCAGAGATCTAAGCGATTCCCTGAAAGATGACGACATCGAAGCCATCAGCAAACAAATCTATAAACAGGTACAGCTCTGGGACCATTCTTCTCATCCGCTAGATCAAAGATCCTGAACTGTTTTCTTTTCGAAGTTGGACATGCCTGCCCTATGCACTGAATTTCTTTGGTCTGCAAATGTTCCTATCCTAAATAATGTCAAAAAAATAACTTAAATACTTTCTGCTTTTCTTTGCTAAGGCTGTGTTTGACTTAACAAGAGAGATTTTTGGAGAAATATTTGCAGAAGATCCAAATTTGAACCAGCCTATATGGATGAAACCCAGCAGGATCACTTCTACTTACTTCCGTCGAGTAAAAGATCCTAGCGACATTGAAGAAATCAAGGTAGGAATTAACTTGAAATAGTGACTTGGTATTCTTCATGGCTGTGTTCTATGGAAGTGAGGGTTTGTCTCATCTTTAATTTAAGGCAGGTTTGTGATTTATCTTCAAAAATTGTCATTGGTGGAGTCTGAAACAGGGATTCCTCCCCGATCTCTGTTTCTTCTCGTGTTGATGTGTAAAACTGCCTTACTCATGATTTACCTATTTTAGATCGAGTTAACTTTATGTGGAAAGATCCCTACTGATCTTGTTGAGATGTGTTAGGTGGTAACATGTTCTGTCCCCCACCTTTCTTCTCGCAGACAAAGTACAATAAGCTTCGGGCTAGCTAACCAGTGCCATTTCAAGAGTATTCCTGCAAATAGAAAGAGTAGAAGAGCTTCATCAATATGGAGTAGCCATTAACAATGGAGTAGCTTCATTAATATGTAGTCGCGAAAAGTCAGACTCGACTGTGCGACTGAACCACAACAAGCCATCATACAAAAGGCCTTTCCCATCCTGAACAAAAGTCTCCTTGCACCTACCACATTTCCAACATACATTAGGACACCCACCTGCCCCAGTATTTTAGCCACCTCAAAGGGAGTACAACATGTATGGGGGGTGTTCAGTCAATTTTCTCTAACATTTAGGGAGGTAACAGAAACATTTTAGATGAATCTTCTCAAATAGGAAGCGTGCAAACTTATATTAATTGTTAACTGCTGCAGTTTGGTGTAGTGGTTAAGAGTGCGGATTCTAATCTGGAAGAACCAGGTTTGATTCCCCACTCCTCCACATGCAGCTGCTGGTGTGCCCTTGAGTCAGTCATAAGTTCTTTCAGAGCTGTTCTCTCAAGGGCAGTTCTCGTGGGAGCTCTCCTAGCCCCACCTCCCTCACAGTGTGTCTGTTGTGGGGAAGGGAAAGGGATTGTAAGACGCTCCAAGTAGTGAAGGGCAGGATATAAATCTAATCTCCTCTTCTTCTTCTCTTCTTAACTACCTAGTTATTTTATTATTAAATTGGCACATCACAGTATTCCAGAATCTTTGTGTTTAGGTTTCTGAGCAGAAAAGCTATGCAGAGACCTCGAATACCCTCTTGCCCCCTCCTGGGGTGAATATTCATAGTGATTAGAATTTTACAGTTTTCAGTGACCCTGGAAGTGTAAGGGAGGGTCAGGAAATATTACCTCGGAATGTATTAATATTTAATTGTGCAATCCTGTATCCAGCAATATATAATTCCTTAAATAAAGGTCTTCCATCTTAGAGTTCCTTGACAGAGGATGATGTGAATAGAAAGTGCTTCCATCAATAATCTTGTCTTTGTATTTGTCTACTGTACTTTAGAGTTTCATAGCAACAGAGGTGCTGAAGCTGTTAAATTTGAAAAAGGAGCCAAATAATAAAATGGACTGGCAGAAAATGATCAAATTTGGACGTAAAAAACGTGACAGAGTGGATCATATACTGGTCAGTATGTTCTGAGTTTGTTTTTTTAAAAAAAAGCTGTACTTGATATCCAGAAATAAGTACTTATGGGGAATGTTGGTTAGGTCTCAAACAAAAAATGTGGATTTCATCTATTTATAATTATTAGTAATCTGCTCCTCAGTGTTTCTCTGTTTAAGCATGGGCATAAGTGTTTTTTGAGTCCCATTCACTTCAGTGGGAAAAGTTTAAGCACCTGTTGCTTAAAAAAGACCTTTAAACCCATTGGCTATAGAATGGGTTAGCATGAACAGTGAAGAGCAAGAACAGGTATTGTGGTTTTTTTAGTAATATGGAAAGAATGATTGCTAGTAAAAGTGGGGAAACTGCTGGGGGTTACCCTCCTCTTGGCTATGAAATCTATGGATAAAATGATGTGTAACCCTGGTGTGTTTGCACAGCATAAATAAGGCTTGCAGAAATCTTGATAGCAAACCCTAAAAATCACTATCCGTGCATCTGTTATCAAGTCATAAACTTTCATTGTGGTAACATGCTGGAGTAGAAATTGTTATCGATAAGTGGGAATTATGTGACCATTTTCAAGACTTGGTTTTAAACCGCTGTATCGTTGATTGAAGTCACTGGCTTCGTTTGTGACTTGGCCTAGAGAAAGAAAAAGCAGCCGTAGATGGTTACAAGGATGTGTACCAAGCAATATCTATTTAACCACAGTGACTTTCACCACCTACTCCCCTTCCCTAAAATTTTCAGGTGCAGGAACTGCATGAAGAGGAAGCTCAGTGGGTGAATTACGATGAGGATGAGCTGTATGTGAAGATGCAACTGGCAGATGGGATTTTTGAGGCCTTAATCAGAGAGACGATTGATGTCCTTAACCAGATCAACGAGAAACAGGAGCGATTGCTGCCCATGTGACAGCCAGGATGGATGCCTTTTTCATAGTAGTGCTGCTGCTGCTGAAACTTTCATTGTGGTAACATGCTGGAGTAGAAATTGTTATCGATAAGTGGGAATTATGTGACCATTTTCAAGACTTGGTTTTAAACCGCTGTATCGTTGATTGAAGTCACTGGCTTCGTTTGTGACTTGGCCTAGAGAAAGAAAAGGCAGACAAGGATGTGTACCAAGCAATATCTATTTAACCACAGTGACTTTCACCACCTACTCCCCTTCCCTAAAATTTTCAGGTGCAGGAACTGCATGAAGAGGAAGCTCAGTGGGTGAATTACGATGAGGATGAGCTGTATGTGAAGATGCAACTGGCAGATGGGATTTTTGAGGCCTTAATCAGAGAGACGATTGATGTCCTTAACCAGATCAACGAGAAACAGGAGCGATTGCTGCCCATGTGACAGCCAGGATGGATGCCTTTTTCATAGTAGTGCTGCTGCTGCTGGAGCATAATATGATCTTAAACATGGCTGAGAAGAGAGAAAGATGGTGTGACGTCTTCCTCCCACCTTTGATTTTTAGAGACTTCACCTGGGATTTGTTCCAAAAAGAGGTGTCCCCCCCCCCAATTGATTCTTTAACTGTCTCTTTACAGCCACTGTATTGTGCGTTACAGATTCATTTTGTTATCCCAGATATCCCATATAAAATTCACTGTCAGCAGTGGAAACTTAAGTCATCAAGTAAACGTTGTCCTTTATTTAAATAACTGCTGTTCTAATCTGGTATTGGCTGTAAGTTAGTAACTTTGTTAAACATTTGTAAAGATTCATCCTGCATTTTGAGACCGCATAGGTCTCTCCCCTCCCCTCCTTCAGTTGTGTTCTGTTTTCCATTCATTTCTGTCTTTCCATCTCAGAACGTGGACCTGGAGACTGTCCGTGGATTAATGCAAGTGAAGCCGGGTGGCTCTTGCACCGCCCTCTGGGCAGAACGTGAAGAGCTGGCCCAAAAGTGAATTTGAGGCCGCCAGTGTTTTAGTTCTTCTCCCAATGAACCATCGGCCGCCCCTAAGTAAATGTGTACTCAGGACTTCTCAGGCCCTCGACACGCAGGAGTTGCTCCTGGCAGGCCTTTGATCCCGTTCCTCCTCCTCTTGCTTCCCCGCCTGGGGTAACGTGTTGGCAGAGCCACGACTTGAACGTGTTGGGGCTTAGGAGTGTGTGTACCAAAGAGAGCGTGACTCGGGGGGTTGTTTTGTGTGCATGCAGAATTTCCTTTTAACTTGTTTTATCATTTGTATGTTAGAAATACACGTCTAGTGCTGCTCTGGCTGCACTACCTGATGACTGAAAATCTGGGAAGGGTGGCCGCAGGAGGACCATCACTGTCATTCGGAGATTTGAAGGGGGGGGGATCCATATCTGAGAAAGAGGAGGCTGTGAAGAGTCATGCATGTTTTCCACTGTGGGGCAAAAGGAGTGGCGCAGAGGCATGGACTTGTGGAGAGAGCGCCTGAAATGGACTGTGGAAACCTTGCGTCCTCCTCCTCCTCCCCCCCCCCCAGTTTTCAGTGGTCCTTTAGTTAGGACACAGCCACTGTGAGACACCCTGCGGAGAAGACCAAGCAGACTGCAAGAGAACACAGATAATCTAGGCTTGAAAGTTGATGCCTTAATTGGAAATCTGGTTTACTTGACGTGGCTTACGGAACCAGCGTGGTTTCCAAATCATTTGTCTCGTCTTAGTTTGGGCGCAGTGCTCCGAACTGCAGCATGGGAGGAAGCACTCCAAAGGCTGTGTGACCTGGGAGATGTTCATGGGAAGAGCTGTGCCCTCTTCCCTCCCGTCTCCTTGAGGAGGTCCTTGGACTTCCAACGAATCTTACCTCTGCCAGTACGCCTCTTCCAAGCCTTTTCTCTTGAGCCCCTTTTTGTGATCCATTTGCCTTTTGCATCTTGACATGCTACCAAGACAGCTTCTCGCATATAGGAGCAGCGCTGCGAATGCCACCAAACTAGAATAATCTCCAGCGTGGTACTGCTGGTATCTCATCTGGTGGTGTGCCATGTCTAGAAAAGCTGAAGGATGCGAGACAGAGAAGGGTTAATGCTTCTTAGAGCACGTCGACCTGGGAACATTTCCCCCCCTCACTGTGTCAGAGCTAGGTGCCAACCATGTCTTTCCTTTTAATAAAAATTAATCCGGAGGAGCAAATCGCTGCTGCTAGTTAAGAGTATCTCTCCATGCTGAATCTCATGCATGTTTTAAACTCCTAAGGAAAAGCTGCTTTAAAAAAAAAAAAACATCACACAGACATAATGCCGTTAATGACAGTGTCTTAGATTTTAATAAATCTGGGCTAGCCATGGTTGTGAGCAGCCCAGATAAACTTGCTTGAATTAGGGGACTACCCATGCAGTGGGAACAACCAATTTAAACAGGTAAACTATATAAATAGCGCATCACCATTCCTGAGGTTATCCGAAAGAACGGCGATAGCGGTTTTAAAGTGAGCAGTGTGCTGTCACCTTGAGCATAAAGTTCTGTGAATTGCGGCCTCATTCTCTCGAGGTGTTAGAAAGTGCCAGAGAGATTTTCCGCGTAAAACTATTAAATCCGATTTGAGTGAGGGCAACACTAGCTGTCAGTTGAATCCTTCATAGCCCTACACAAAGAGCTTGCTGAGGTTTTTGTACAAGCATTGGATTATTTTCACTGCAGGTGAATTTTCTTCTAATCTGTTTTGCAGACACAGGGTATGAAAACACGTTGCGAGAATGCAGTAGGGATGCCTTCACGCCTCCACCCTTAAAGAGGGTCCTCATATTTGTATCTGTGTGAAAATGTATGGTATATGTTAACTGGTTATCATATGCCTGGGTTGCTCAGAGCTTTGTCAGCTCCATTATAAGAGTTTGCTTGTTAGTGAATGAGACATCTGTGATGTTTCCGGAATATTTTTCCCATGCGTGCGGACGTGGGAGTGGCCGTCCTCTGCATAACAGGCAAGAAAGAGGACTTCAACCTGGAATCCCTTGGAGACAGGGGCGTAGCCCTTTTGCATCCCAGAGCAGGGTGGGCTGTTGAAGCAACACACAAGAGCCCTGAATTAAATGAAGCAGATGGACGAAACTTAATGTTCTCTTGTGACTGTGGAATTCATACAGGAGAAGAACATGAGGGGGGCCCGCAATGATTCTGAGCCCAAAAGTGAGAAACGTTTTATAGCCCAGCAAGATTATTTGTGCCGCCAATTTGTTCTCCTAATCGCAGAAGACCATCTGTGAAATGTATATTGAAAGAAATGGATGATGCAATACAAAGAGTTCTCCCTGTAGAATTGTTTCTGATCTACAGATTTAGAACAGAGTCCCCCAAGAACATTTACTGGCCTAATGAGGAAGTATCGGACAGGAATAGGACCGTGCTCCTGCACCGGTCCCGGTTATTTCAAAGGAAGCTTGGCCAGTAAAAGTTCCCAATGGATTATGCCAGGTGGACACTGGAATGCCACTACCTTTCAGGAAGCAGAAGAACAGCAACATGATTTGTGACCTGTTGGGTAGGTGGAGGGTGGAAGATGAGCCCCACTGTGTTCTCTTGGGATACTCTTTGAAAACGTGGCCTTAGCATTTTTTGCAATACTTGAATGAAAGTGTGTATTTGCAAAAGAAATCCAGTAGCACAGTTGTTCAGAGACCATTGAAGTAACTGCACCACAGATTTTCTTGAATCATTTTTGCTGTCGTTAAGAGACTCGATTGCTTATTTTCCAGCAGCAAAAACAGTTGACACTTATGAAATGTTCTTTGTAAATGGTAGGATTTTTAAAAATTGTTTACCAAAAAAAATGCATAACATTGATAAGTGAAACTTTTGACGACTTATTTGAATTCTAACATGTAGAAATGCAAAAAAAAAAGAGAGAGATTGAAAAGTTGTATTGTAGTACACCAGAATAATTAGGACTTTTTCCTCGAATTTTTTTTTTTGCAGAGACTTTTGATAACATTTGCAAAGCTGTCTTGGGGAGACCCCTTCTCCCTGTGTACTGTATTGTGCAGAGACTCAGTTGCTCACTCTGTGTGTGTGTGTGTGTGTGTGTGCGTGCGTGTGTGTGTGTATGAATAACTTTGTCAGACGTGTGTGTTGGCCAATTTCAGCCAATAGTCACACACCCCTGTGTAGCACGGCTCATTAGATTACAGGGTGTAAGGTTTTCTTGTAATTATGACCTGTAAAATAACCAGGGTAGGCCCTGTGTACACCAGTGTAAATATCTTTGTTAACTTGAGATGTACTTTAAGATAATAAAAATCTGTAAATAAATTGATTTATAAATTATCCAGCTCCTCACTGCTCTTTTTGTGTGTGTGTGTGTGTGTGTGTGTGTATGCCTGGAAGTCATGGTTGACTTCTGGCAACCCCTAGTGGGGCTTGGACGTTTCAGAAAGGTGGCATGTTAATGCCTGCCTCAGCGTCCCAGCCCTGGTATTCCTTGGAGGTCTCCCATCCAAGTACTTGCCAGGGTCGGCCCTGCTTAGCTTCTGAGATTTGATGAGATCGGGCTTGCCCGGGCTATCTGGGGCAGGGCTTCCTCACAGTTCTTGACATTGTGCAATGGCTCATATGATGTTAATTCTGTGCATGTGCCTTTCTCATCCATCTTTCTTTCTCCAGATGCAGAATGCTGCTTACCATAAGAATGGCATGGCTGGCTCAGAGCCAAATCTAGCTGGTCTCCTATCTTGTTCCCAAGAGCAGTCAGTCAAGTGCCTTCGGCTACTGAACAGAAAGACACAAAGGTCACAAACATACCATCAGCGTGTATTATCTTCAGGTGCACTGCACCAAAACATAGAGGATCTTGAGAGAGGAGCTGTATCATCCGCATACAGAAGACATGACAACTTAATGTTAGCTAGGTAAGGCAGGTGGAATTCATCTCTGGAAAAACAGGAGCTTAGATCAGTAGTATACAAATTAAAGGATACATCCTCATTTCACTCCTTTGCACAGTACAATTGCTCTAGTCAGTTCACCAGATGGACCACATCTTACCTGTACTGTAGGCCAATCATATAATTGTTGAATCAACAATAGGAGATGCTTGTCAATAGACAATGTCTTAATCTTATCCCATAATCTCTGCCAAGGCACTGAGTCAAAAGGCAGCTCTAAGGTCCATAAAGACCACAGCCAATATGCCATCCTTTGAACTGGTACATTTATCTATGATAACCTGAAGAGTATATCCTCTATCCATATAGAGCATATGATTTGCCTACTACTGACAGCAGACTCATTGGACGATAGTTACATGGATCCATTGGATCACCTCTTTTGTAAATGCATGTCACCAGTAGGAAGGCATGGTGCCTGTCTCATTAATCTGAGTAAAGGTAAGTACCAAAACATTGGCCCCACCAGTCAGCATTTACTTTACATAACTCCAGAGGGACCAGATCAGGTCTTGGTGCTTTGCCCGGTTTCATTTGGGAGACCGAAGATTTAACTTCCGATACTGCAACTGAACATTGCAAAAGAAACACAAGTTATGGGAAAACAGTGTCAGGAGTGGGGGCCACCCTGTCTATCCCAGCTAAATTTTGGGGTTCCTTCTGGGTAAGTTTGGGCATGACATTTGGAGCACATACTAAAAGGTGTTCCTTATAAAGAAGCACCCAAAACAGTTATATAATGTCACACAAGGATTCATGAAGAGATGTCTTTCCTCATTGTTTGAATAAAATGAGATCACCAAGAAGGGGGGACCCACAAATGTACATATGTATGTCTTTGTTCATCAAGCCAAAGAAGACACTGGCTTGCATGGTTTCTAGTCCACCATTAGCTGAGAGAAGCTCTCACTGAATCATAGAATTATAGAGGTGGAAGGGACCTCCAGGGTCGTCTAGTCCAACTCCCCGCACAATGCAGGAAATTCACAAGTACCCCCCCACACCCCCATTGGCCCATTGTTCCATGCCCAGAAGATGACCAAAAAAACCCTCCAGGATCTCCAGCCGAACTGGCCTGGAGAAAAATTGCTTCCTGGCCCCAAAGTGGCGACTGGAATTTCCCTGAATGTGTCAGAAAGGGCCACAAGAACTAAGCCCTGGTGCAACCCTCCCTGCCCTCCCTCTCATGGTCTGCCTAAATTCACAGAATCGGCATTGCTGTCAGATGGCCACCTAGCCTCTGTTTGAAAACCTCCAAAGTAGGAGAGCCCACCACCACCTCCCGAGGAATCCTGCTCCACTGAGGAACGGCTCTGACTCTCAGGAAGTTCTTCCTAATGTTTAGCCGAGAACTCTTTTGATTTAATTTCAACCCGTTGGTTCTGGTCTGACCTTCTGGGTCACAACTGTCACAATGTCTGACAATTTTCTCTCAGAGGAAGGGGGTGTCTAGGAATCCAGACGGCTTCTTGTCATTGAGGAAGCCAAAAGAATGGCCCGAAGCTCCTGCTTGGCCTGGGATTTTGAACACCTTGGCATCTACAGACACTTCTTCTGGTGTCCACCAAGATGTTTTAGAAGGTGGGGCTTTTG